TGCTTTAAATACGCTTAGACACGTATATAATGCGTATGCTGTTTTTTTTATTACCCTGGGTCACAATCGGAAAATCAAAGTAAATTGAAATCCAGGTTAAAAATAGTATATTAAGATACAAGTGTATAATCAAGTCTTTAAAGCACGCGCAACGAGTTTAAGGGCACGACGCAAAGCGGAGTGCCTTTAACGTTGCAAGTGCTTTAAAGACTAATTATACAGTGTATCTTATAGTATTTTTTATTATACCTGCAGTATAATTTAAAAATAGGAAATACAATGAAGTCATATTGACGTTATACTCGAATACATGTTTAATTAAGTGGGCTGGGTGTTCGTAATTTCACGATTGCCATGGAAATGTCACTTGACGTTTGCTTATAAAAATCGTCGTCTTTGTGAATAAAACGATTTCCGTTGAAAAAGATAATACACCGCCCATTAAATCGATTGTTGTAAAATCTAAACAAACGTTGGTAGGTGTAAAATCCAACTCCAGTTAAGCCTATTATAAAGTGCACTGAGAAAAATTTCTATTAACAGTAAACAAAAATATATTAGCCACAGTAAGATTTCTGCATTAAATAGGTCTTAAATGAGCCCTCTACTTGCTACTAATAGAGTCATTTTGCTATGATGCACCTATTTGCTGTAAAGACTTATTGCCACTAATAGATGCGTTTATTTGCTTCTACAAAAAGTTTATTTGTGGCAAATAAGGTGATCTATTTGTAGTAAATATATAAACTGCTACTATATTTGCGGTAAATAAGCTACTCATGTATGGGAAATAAACGCTGTATTAACGGCAACTATTTGGTTATTTGCCGTTATTAGATCATTTTGCTGCGATTAATACGGCATCCATTTGTAGTAAATAATATGCTTATTTATGGCAAGTAGACATTCAATTAATGATTAATACGGCATCCATTTGTAGTAAATAATATGCTTATTTATGGCAAGTAGACATTCAATTAATGGTAGGCATTTTTTAAATTTCCCATTACAATACACATTGCTGCGGTTAATATTGCACCTATTTGTATCTACTAAACTAATTGCTTCTTATGAGAAATAAACACTTCATTAATGATGAGTGTTTTACTATTTCCTGTAATAATATCATTTTGTTCAGGTTAACAAGTGCATCTATTTATAGTAAATACCTTGCTTATTTATACTAATTAGAAGTTTTGTTAAGACCTTGCAGGACCATGATTCTTAATGTGAACAGTTGCAGCATTAAATTAATACAAGTTAAAAGTTAGGTACCTATATTCGTACTATGTATTGCGCTCCTTTGTGATTCTGTTTCAAATAAAAGGTATCGCCTAACAATGTCACTTCCATTGTGATTGGTAAATGAAAATTCAAATTGGGTAAATCTTTTTTATTGCTGACTATAATAAGCAATATTTTACAACAAAAACCTTAACTTTATATAACTTAACTAAAGTATGGTGGTGTGGTGAACGAAGAAAATGTTAATTACAAGTAGATACATTACATCGCTATATACCTATAATATATAGAATTCAACAATTTTTTAAATTCTTTATAATGTTAGTATAATGAAATAAATTGCTTATTCTCTTTAACTATTATTGTATGCGTATTATAACACTCTAATTCATTGCCATATGTCAATGCCACACTATCAGTAAGTTCAACTTCAAAAGCGTAAAAGTGACGATTAAAACCAATAGTATGTGTTGTCGCCAGGGGACAAATAATTAATACACACGCCAGTATCAGGATTTAATATTTCATTCACTACGATTTACGAAACGAACTACAATAATTGGCCAGCACACACTCTCACAGAATCGCCGCTTCCCTCTCCCCTGCGCCATCTATCTTCCCTGGTGCCAACATATGCAACAATTCACATATAAAACATATCTTCTCACTTTGGTTAATAATAATATCCCTAATTTTGCCAAATGTAGGTTGATCCTGAAAATCGATAAGAATAATATCACCTTCTTGAAAAGCTATGCTATTGGTAGAGATTCTGCCAACTCTTATTATGTTATCTTCAAACATTTTTAAATTTTCAGATACGTTTGAATGATTTGCAAACTTTTTATTGTACAAATCGGTGATACTAGAGTACTTTTTAAAGCTCTTAGAATAATTAATTGAATTGCTAAATCCAGTATTTGAGGAAAACCGTAATGACAATTGAAGCTGATGTTTAATGGCTAATGAACGGGTAATATTCACTCTTGAAGAAATGACGTTTGCAGCTAGTTTCAATTGTCTGTGTTTAGATTCATACCTAAGTGTATTTGTTTGTGATAATGGTCCAATCTTTTCCATAATTGTAGGATAATGTGTCAAAAAATGAAATTTAGGTTTTAGTAATACTGAAAACAAGTCCTTGAATTGAAAACATAATTCGTAAATTAATGATTTTAGTTTTATTGGTTGATCTGGTGTAACACGTAAACTTAGAGCAATGTGTAGAACATCTCGTAACAGAAGATAAATATTCCAGTGTTTATTACCTTCTGGTATTAAATGTGCCATCATAAGTGAAAAGTTTAAAATAAAGCACTTCATTTCAGAAGCAGACATTTTCAATATTTTCTTCTTTATTGATTCCAGAGATATTACAGGAGGCTTGTTGTCATTTCTATTAAAATTAAAATATTCTATTTTATGGTTCAATGTATCATTATCAAAAAATTTATCGACTAAAACAAACTCGTATAATAAATGGCTCATGATAAAGACACCAACACCTTCAAAAATATCGTGGGCCAAATCTGCAGAAAAATTCAAAGTAACATGAAAGGAGTCGACGTTATTTAAAATGGTTGAATACTTTACACCGGTTAAATATGCATTATATTCGGCTACATCGGCTGTATAATTTTGTACGTTTCTTAGAAATGAGGAATTCTCTTCAAATAAACTTTGTGTCTCTGTGCGAAGACACTTGCAAAATCTACAAAAAGAATTTGCCACAAAGCTTTGCTGAAACCCTAAGATAGTATTTAGACCTAAATTATCTCCTAGGATGAGAGTCATACAAAAATACAAATGTACTTCACGCTGAGGGGTTGATACTTTTATACCTTGACGTTTGAGTTCATTTAATTCGTCTACTAGTTTTGAAAACATTACTGCCTCCCCAAACGACTTTAGATCTGACGAATGAAATAATTGGGTTAAAAATATATTCTCTAACTGACTTCGATAGTATATAGGCAAACAGGGAATGGAGAAATAAATGGTTCCAATTTTATGCACCCCAGCATGTGATCCCAAAGGGTTTCCCGCCTCAAAGTCATCATAATATAAAAACAGTGGCAAAACTATATCATGTGCATCATAACATGAAATCTTGTCTTTCCAAAATTTTGTCTGTATTATGTTAGATACACCTGATTTTTTTTCTAATGAACTGATATACGTCAAAGTGTCATCTAAAACATTATCTAAAGCAAAGAATTTTTGTAGTATAGCTTTTAATGAAATAAATTGTGCTGTATAATTTTTGGCAATTGGGTCTGATTTCTCCAAATGTTGTCCAATGATAAGTTGCGTTGGGGGTACAAACGAGCCTGCTTGTTCTAAGTACTTCAGACGTAAGTAGTCACTCTCAAAATTGCTAAACATATTCTCAAATTCATTAAAATACTTTTTGAACTCAAACTTATCTCGTTCTGACAGCGAATCAAGATTTACGCAAAATTTTTTAAGCATGTCAAGAGGTTTTAAAAGTAAATTTGACACCATATTCATAATGTTATCTACATCCTTCCTATTGAAGGTGTTTACATTATAAATTTGGCATAGAAATAATAGCTTATTTTTTTTTAATATGTCTGCAAAGTCAAAAAAACTGTTTTGGAAAGTGGTACTTTCAAGATTATTTTCAATGTCATTAATCTGTTGATTTATTTGTTGAGAAATAATGCTTGCGTTAGTATTTGAATCGTTACATTGCACTTCTAAATTTGTTGCCAGTATACTATTGTCCACAGTCGTATTCCGTTCATTAATGGGAACGCATTCAACATGTACTTTTAGATGTTGTCTATAAGTTCTTAGCGATGAAAAATTTCTATTGCACAACGGTTCACCGCAAATAAAGGAATCATTGTCTTGAGCCCTATGTAGAATTCTCATATGAGTTATAAGTGAATTAATATTCTGAAATATTGTTGAACATACCTTACATTTTGGCATTATGTAAAAAATTAAGAACGCGCATACAAAAATTTAACAAAAAAACAAAAACAAAATACTATTTACATATGGTATTGTACGTCTGTAATAAGCGCAGTGGTTGCAGGACTTGACTTACTTGATTTTATATTAAAAACAATCTCTTGGATAAATAGCCAAATATGCTCGGATTCTGCAGGATACTCCACATCCAAAGCGTGGTATAATTTAAATAATAATTCCAGAGCTCTAATGCTACTGTCTACTTTGTAAACAACATCATTTACCACGACAATGTAGAAGTTGTTTACAGCCTCCAAATTCCCCGCTACGCAAGCATATGGCTGGTCCGTACGTTGACAATTTTTGACGTCTGGATGATCTTTTTTCTTGTAATTCGTCAAAATTCTAAAAGAAAAGATATAATTATAGCCATATTTTGCAGGAATATTATGTGCAATTAAAAATAAATTGTTGATAGTTTAACTGCGCCAAATACAGCAAACAAAAAATACCACAAAAATATCCATGTAATGTTAGCTATAGTAGCAAAGGCGGTCATATGTCCAGCTTCAGAGGAGGGGGGAGGGGGCTGCTTTCAAAAATGTGATTACTGATGTGAGACGAAAACGATAGAAAATTGCTCATTTAGGTGAAAATGTGCTAAATTCGGAATTAAGTTGAAACTTGGGGAATAACCGTAGTATGACAGGATTTAGTTGGGCTTGGGGGGGGGGCCATAGCTCCCTCTTGGCAGCCCCATATGACCGCCCTTGTATAGTAGGTAGGTATACTTACAGAAATTCGCATAAAAAAGCTCTCCTGCACTTCCACCCTTGTAGGTCTCCAACTAACACCTTTTCTATTTTTTTTCAACGTTACAGGTTGAAATAGGAATGGTAAAGTAATTAATGCTTTTAAACTGGGATCTATGGATAAAAACATTAAGGTTTGTATTTTAAATTCAATGTAAACACACCTGCAACTTCAGCTATTGAAATATTTCGTTCCGCTGCCTCTTTATTAATTGCATTCATCACTTTAGGCCATGTTGTATATATAATATCTATTTTATCAGGAAATTTTTGGTTGAAATCTGTTTCTATCTGAACAGAGAAAAAAAAATTAAAATAGTAGCAAAAAATAAATATAAGTACCTACTTACCAGTTCAATGCCACTACTCAACCTAAGACATGGAAAGTCTGTGAAAATCGTTTCCAAGTTGGAATTAAGGTACAATTTTCTTCGCAACGAATAAGTTTCTTGCCAATTTGCCAAGATTTTCAGGTAAGGTTCGGTAGCTGTCTTTAAAAACTCGAGCTGTAATTCTTTATTTGGGCTTTGGCTTTGTTCTGACGGTTTATTGGGATTTTCATTTTCTTTAAATGCATTTGCGTTTCGAAGTGCAGTGCGTACGTTTGTGTACCTTGACCATAGTTTCCCTTTGGGACCAACGCCCCTCTTTTTTTTTTCCGTAACTATATATGGTATATAATATGTTTCGGACTTTTCATTAGGAAATAGTATGGTAATCTCTTCGGCAATTCTCATGAACGTACTTCCTCTAATACTAAAAATGTCATACTTATAAAATTTTTACATCTTATACCAATTAATTATACTCTTTTTTTGCACTGCATGAGTGATAACTCTTTAACCTCACGGCACAAAATTCATATGATGCCTCAATAACAGAATATGTAATATTTTTTTGTAAAACAAAAGTGCAAAACTATAGTGTATAATTAACTGAATGAAGTATAATTTAAAAATTTTTTGCATGAAAATTAAGTTGTTTTGTGTGTTATAGTAATATGTAATTACAAAAATATACATATTAACAGATTTTAATTCAAAAATTAATAAAAGTACTTAGTTATAATTAAACGGGTAAGTATACATACTCTGATCCTTTGTTGGCAAAAAGCTCATTTACAGCCACTTTTACCAATTTCTGTCGTAAATCATTAGTTAATTTGTTTCGGTTTAATAAGACAAGTTTCCCGTCTGTATACTTTTGTAGTACCCGTTCCAAACCCTGTAACAATAACCATTTTTAATTTTCATATCATATAATTTGTTCATATGGTCTAAGTATTAATTAATGTTCGGTTCTTCAATTAACGTGGAATTTATTTTTAAAACTGTAAAAAAGGGCACTAAAATATCAAACAAGGGGCGGTATACCTAATTATACTTTGACAACAAAACAAAGTTACTTTCATAAAAATGCAATTCTTAAAAACTTGGGTCGTTATCATAATATACCTATTCTAATCTATTGTCGTATTTGAATAAACGAATACCTTAACAGAAACACACCTATTAAAGAGTTAAAGACTTAACCCTTTTAATGTAACATTACGTTGTATACATACTAACCTCCGGGAAAACACTATCTATATCTCCAAGTCCAGTTTGCTGCTTCTTACTGCAGGAAGGGGTATTATCCAAGGGATCGTCAATCTTTCGTTTTTCAGAGACTTTATTACCAATATTTTCTATTACATCTAATAGTTCTTGATCTGGAACGAAACTGACATCTAGATCAGTTATAATAGACTCATTTGTGGTATAAGTTGACACTGATGCTGGAGTACTGCAGTTATAGAGATCACTTGATTCTACTTCAAAACTCTGCAACAAGAAAAGTCGGAAATTAAAATGCAATCAAAAATGCATTGACGAGTCACCTTTGATAATATTTTAACATTAAGGAGGAAATCATAAAATTCGAACTAGTGTATATCACATATCCTATCAAAGGTGATTTCATACTTTATTTTGGGTTCCTTAAATATACAGGGTGTTACATATAAGTATGTAAAAAAAAATTGGGTGGTAGAGGAGATCAAAACAACTAAAACAAGCACTTTTTTCAAATAAATCGAGGGTTCAACGCGTTTCGTTTGGAAGCTACCCCCAAAAAAGTGGTGAAATTTGCATTTCTTCTTTAATTTTTTTCTCAGCAACCAGAGTTACAAAGACGGGTGGCACGTCTTTGAATAGGTATGACCTTTCCGATTTTGCAAAAATTTTTGAAAAATTGCTACCCCTAAATGGGGATGCAAAAAAAATCACCACTTTTTTGGGGGTAGCTCCCAAACGAAGCGCGCTGGACCCTCGATTTATTTGGAAAAAGTGCTTGTTTTGATCCCCTCTACCACCCAATTTTTTTACATACTTATATGTAACACCCTGTATATTGGTGTATTTGGTATAGGTATGCGCTCCTCTAGATGGGTGCTACCACTATTAATCAGCTAAGCTGTTACAAAGATATTGTATTATTATCTTTGGCTGTTATAAAAATCTGCTGAGGGTTGCCAAAAAAAACATATGAATTGCGGAGCGCTGCAGAGAATGTGTCAGGGGATTTAGTACAAAAAAAATGAGTATATAATACCCATTATACCCATACCTTTGAAGTAGCAGGAGTGGGAAACATTTCATTGTATTTCTTTTTAAATATCAATCGTGGTCCACTTTTAGGGAAAAGTTTCGCTATCGTCTCGGAATCCAATATCGGAAAGCTCTCATCGTCAATTCCATCATCTACAGATCAAAGCAAAACTGTATTGACATCAAGGTGTAGGGTGTAGTGTAGGTAGTAAAAATGTGTAATACCGTTGTTTTGGTAAGCGCGTATACGGCTATTATAATCGACAAATATTAATTTAAAATCGAATAACTGAGGCAAACATTCTATATTTTTAATTGTGGCATATGTCGCGGCCCAGCGCAATGGAAACAAAGTTGTGGAGATGCAACCCTGTTAGATTCTACCAGGGGCACATCCCCACGACAGTTGACTAAATTCTGGGAGAGGCGGTTCTGCCAGGCATATGTCAAAGTATCAAGTATCAAGGATAATGCGCACGTCGAATAAAAAAATTAAGCGGCATGATGAGTTACGTAGGTAAGTACTATATTTTAAAAGAAAATCGCCATAAATTGAAAGGAACAAATCTTTGAAGTGAATATTAATCATATTTTGTGAAGATACATAAAAAACATACTTTTACGATTGTTTATAAATAAAGAAAGTTTTGACTTACCTTCGAAGGCTTCTATGTAATTACTCATACCCCACGCTTCCAATAGTTTCTTATAATCCATTTATATTACGGTAAGCTAATTGTAACAAAACAAGTAGGTACGTAATTCACACGAACTCACAGCTGTAGGTATTGTATATGTTACACCCACGAACTACCTGCATACACTGAGAAAGCACGCACTCTTAAAATGATAATAAAGCAAATAAGTTTACTCATTTATTTGTAGCAGCAACCTTTTTTATTTGTAGCTAAAAGGAGCTAAGTTGCAGTAAATGAACACCTAACTTATCACTAACATCCACATCGTAGTAATACGATTTATTTGTCCCAAATCGAAGCTTGCTTACAGCAAATAGATTAACCGATTTTTTTATTAACCGCAAGAAACTAACTATTTGTAGCAGCAAAACGATCTTTAGTGGATAGTTTTTGCTGCTGTTAATAGTTGAGCAATTTACCATTATTAGTTATTTTGCTGCCATTAACAAAAATCTATTAACCACAAATAGATCGTCACAGCAAAGTAACCTATTTGGTCCATTTTTCTCAGTGTGGATGAATAGGAAGTTACTTACGAATACAGTCTTAAATGCATCCATAATGCTGGCATATATGAAAGAAATGTCAAAGGTATTTAAATCTTCTATATTTTGGTGCATTCATTCAAAACTTTAAAGAAATGCTGCGATTAAAAAGTGGAACCGATTTGGAAGCATGCCCTAAATTACGCGCGTTTGTGAAAGCTTCAACCAAAGGATAGGTACAAAAGCCAAAGAAATGTTCTGCATTTACAGAAAGCGACCTAAGAGGAGTTTTTATTTCATCTAGATGACAGTTTCAAAAGTCATACTTGAAGTATCGTTACTTAGCAACTTTAAAGCACGTGTGTTTTAAAGGCCCTTTTTCGCACGCATTTGAGTGTTTAATAGTATATTATGAAACTAGTTTATAATGCAAGGGATTATGGCATGAGTGAATGTTTAACGCATGAGCGAAGCGAATGCGGTAATATCACGAATGTCATAATCCCTTGCATTATAAACAAATTTCATACGCTATTTTATCGCCGACTAGAACTTTTCAAAAATAAAAATTCTGATCGATAAACTTAAATCTGAAATACCTAAATCTAAAATTACATCAAAGCGGTTTTAAACATTACCATGGTTTTTGATAGCTCGCTTTTGTTAATAAATAAATAAAGCGGCGCCATTTGCACAAAACACGCACAAAACATGAATTTCGCGGAAGATTTGAGTTTGTGTGATGCAATTTTAAAGAAAGCGGAAGAAGCGGAATCCAGTTTGTGTCCAAAGAAATCAGAAGACTTTTACAAAAAGGAATTTGAAAAATTTTGTCACTGGATGCGGAACAATAATGCCGAAATTGTGACAGAGAAGGTTTTGCTGGCGTATTTTTTGGATCAGGTAGATCAATTAGACTGTAAATAATTATATACCTAATTGTAATTATTGTTTCTTCCGTTTTAGTCAAAAAATTACAAGTCCTCGTCATTGTGGTGCATGTACTCCAAGCTGAAATGTATGTTACGAATAAAAAATGACATTGACATTAGCCAGTTTTCTAAACTTTCTGCTTTTTTAAAAAAGTGTTCAGTTGGGTATTCAGAGAAAAATCTTTGGTGTTCTCAAAGAATCAGTTAATAAATTTTTTGACCTCGACTTGTGACGAACAATATCTCCTTATGAAGGTGGGTGGGTTTCTCTTATTGCTACAAAAGGTTACTATAAAAGTATGATTTTAGGTTGTTGCAATATTTGGATTATTTGGTGCTTGCAGAAGGATAGAGTTTTACAATTTATGTGTAAGCGATGTCCAAGAAGAGGGTGCAGTTTTTGTGGTGAATCTCAAAGATACGAAAACACATCGACCCAGAACATTCACAATTTTAAATGATGATAGCATGAATTACACTGAGCTCATTAAAAAGTACATAAATTTAAGACCAAAGCATGTTAAAATAGAGAAGTTCTTTCTATTCTATGGTGCGGGAAAGTGTACGTGTAATCCCATTAGCATCAATACCTTTGGTCAAATTCCTCGTAAAATTGCCAAATATCTGAACCTTCCTAATGCAGATCAGTTCACTGGTCATTCATTTCGCAGAACGTCTGCTACAATCCTTGCAGATAGTGGCGCAGACATTCGAACATTGAAAAGACATGGTGACTGGAAAAGCGATGCTGTTGCGGAAGGGTAGGTATGTGGCGGATTCACGAGAAAACAAGAACAAAATTGCTAGAACCTTAGGATCTGTTAACACTGTTAGCTGCCAGAGAATCAGGGATTTGGCATCTTCATCAACTATCTCAGTATCTGGAATTACTAGTGCATCATCGACTACAAATGAATGTGTTCTTCAATCTAGTTCAGGCATTTCAATTTCCGGAAATTCAAATTGTACTATTACCTACTATTAACATTAATAAATAATATATCAACAATCAGCCTAAATTTGTTGTCAAGGCGACTTTATGGCACAACTTTATGGCACGTGCCATAAAGTGACGGATTATTAATGATTTTGACATTCATAATCATAGCATTCTAATGCTAGTCGGCGATAAAACAGAGATTGTGATTCAGGTATAATAAAAAAAATATTTTGTACCGTTCTCGTCAAATACAACGAACACATTTTTTTCAGATGCAAAGTCTGCAACGTGTCGGTCAAAGCTGGAAAGAGTGAGTTACAAAAACACGGCAATACTAATAAACATAAAAATAAAATGAGGGCTATTCAGGAGAATAGAAATATTGTTACGATGTTTCAAACAGACGGGGACAGTATACACAAAGATTTAGTTAAAAAAACAGAAATTAAGTTATCGGCATTCTTTGCGGCGAATAATGTCGCATTTCGACTAATTGATCAATTGGAGCCTGTACTGAAAGACATCTTCTCAGACAGCAAAATTTGTGCGGAGACATGAAGTTAAAAAGAACCAAATGCACACAAATTATAAATAATGTGCTGTGTAAGAAGGAAACCGATGATCTAATTTTAATGCTCAGAGATCAGAATTTCTCGATTCTATTAGACGAATCTACAGACATAGGAGACCACAAAAGCCTCGTAATTCTCACCCGATATTTTAAAAATAACAAAATAGAAACTCGACTGTTGCAATTGTTACAGTTGGATGCTAGAAAGTTAGGAGCCGACGAATTATATCAGGCATTCGTGTCATGTTTAGAAAAACATAGCATCCCTAAAGAAAATATAGTTGGTGTAGCGTCCGATGGAGCTAGTGTAATGATAGGCAAAAATCATTCGTTTTTTAAACTGTTGAAGGACAATATTCCACACGTCATTTTAGTACGCTGCATTTGTCATTCCGCAGCACTAGTAGCATCAAGAGCGTGCAGTGAACTTCCTCGTTCACCAGAGGATCTGCTACGCAATATTTATAACTATGTGTCTGGGAGCGCCAAACGATGTGCGGAATTACAGGAAATAGGGTCTATTAGTGTGACGTCAAATTTGAGCGCGAAATTTGACGGTCTATTAGTGTGACGTCAAATTTGAGCGCGAAATTCGAATTGCAGGACTTGGCTGTTTTACTGTCGAAGATATTGACCCCTATCGCCCTATGCAATAAGTATCACTTTTAAATAGGTCATCTTTATGGGCTTATAGTGACTTTATGCGAATGAAATAAGCATATCGACCCTCTTGTATCCAAACACTGATTACTTAACTTTAAAACAGAGCAATAAGCGTTAAATAAAGTCCATTAATTGCGTTATAATTAAGAATTAAAAATGTGCCTACCATATTTACACGTTACGGTTGGCAGTACGGAATGATCATAACTAGAGCCCGGATTACTAAGCAAAATGCACTTTTTTTTCTACACCTTTATAAGTAAGCAGAAATGCCACACTTTGTCAAATATGCCTCAATAAACTGATTAAACTATGCTTGATAGTGCTTATAAATGCTTATTAGGAACTAGAACGCTTATTTTAGGATTCTTTATTAAAAATACTTATTTCGTACAAAAAGGTGTTGCTTATATGTTTACCCGAAGGGTTGTAGTAAATTGGAAGTTTGATGATTTTATTTTTAAAATTTCGGAATGAATGTGACAATCTTCCCACGCTTAAAGAACCTTTTTATTTCAAGTTTAAACTCTTCCTTATTTGCTGGTCGGCATTAGTTACTTTGTACCTACAATAAATCATAATTCCTACCTCCAATACATAACGAGCTAAGCTTAACAGAAATCCGGTACTTGTTTGTTGACTCATCCATTCACAGAATTCTAAGAAAAGCCTACTTAGGCAGGTACTATTTCTTGCATTGTGATACGACGTATTATATTACCTCGGTTTGTTTCTAGTGTTAATACTTCAGTACAGATTCTACTTTCCTTGCGAATTTACGTCCTGTTATTTGTTAAAAATGCCTCCTGTACGAAATTCTCATTCTTCTTTGTTGAGCAAGTACGTAAAAGAGTTTGGAAATAATATTTTCAGCGAAGACGGCAAAGTTTTATTTTGTATAATGTGTGAAAAGGGTGTTTCTGCGAAGAAAAAATACGACGTGGTGCAACATATTAATACATCGCGTCATAAAGAGAGGGTTAAGAATAAATCGAAGTTAACTCAGCAACTAATTACAAGCAGTGTAGGTGAACAATCGAGTTCAAGTGATCCATTTTTTAAAGACTTGTGTTTGGCGTTAGTGAGTTCCCAAATAGCACAAAAACGTTGTTTGAACGTTCTTAGTACATCCAACAATGAACATTCAAACATCCTAATGACGTTCTTAAACGTTATCAGAACGTAATATGAACGTTCTTTGAATGCCCAAATGGCACAGATGTGGGCATTCAACGGATGAATTACAACACATTCTTAGGACGTCTAAGAGACAATTGGTGGAACGTTCAATAGACAATTGTAAGAGGTTCATAGAACGTAATAGCATTCCAGTTTGCGGGAGGGAGAGGGGTGGTTTAAGATGTTCATTAAAAAAAGAATTTAAAAATCCGTTACTTTATTATGTAAATAAAATAAATAAACATAATACTTTCAATTATTTTTTCTAGATTTTTCAGGGCATTTGCGTAACCACTTCGCCATGTCATTTTCAATCTCTTTTTCAGTTTTCCTAAACAGGGAAATGGCAGCTTCTGAAACCAAAACAAATACAGTGATTTAACTATTCCATTCTGGGTGTCCATTGCGTAGAAGTGGAATTTTTTTAAGTGACTACAACACGTAAAATTTCACTGTGTATCCTTTTAAGTGAACCAAATCCAACCATCTATGCAACTTAACCCGGCGTTACTCGCACCACGGTCAGTTTCATATAGCAGGCAACGTCTACATGTGGTTATTGGAAAATACATTGAGATAAATTTAGGTAAAAAGTAAGTAGTTTAAGTAAAAATAAACTACACTAAAATTCTGCACAAACCAAATAAGGATTACAGTAAGGCATTAATGAACTTCGACACGCATAACACCATTGTACAAGAAGAACGATCAAATTTCTTAACGAAATGACTGTGGCGCCGGCTTAAACAGCACCTATTAACAAAAATGTGATTAGAAATTTGATTGATTTCACATTTTTAGTGCAAGAGGTTCGTTGTGTGTAGTAAAATGGACGCAATAGAGGAAAACATATTAATGTTGAATTGTATAACATTAAGAAAAGTATGTGATATTTATCAAATCGTCGAATTTAAAAATTTGAGATTTGTTAATATAAGTGCTACCTATTTAAATTGCATAAATTCTTTAATGACGCTAATAGGGAAATTGGCCGTTACTATTCTCTTACAGTATCTGTAGATTACCTAATACATAACATATATTGTTGTGTTATTTTGTTTTAGTTGTAACTTGAAAGAAATTATAGAGCGTCTGGATGTGACAATTTTGTTTAGTTCAATTAATTAACCGGGGGGTTATTAATAATTTGAGACACAGGATTGCGTAAATTTCATGTTATAGTTTTGGTTCAATTTCTTAGAAGTGTTCTGTTTTTATTTTATTCCTAGAATTTTTTTCGATGTAAATTTCTTTTTAAATTTTATTTGCCGTTAACGAGGTATAGCGCGAAGTAGAGATAAGGTTCTTCGCAGAATTGCCGGGCGTACGTGCCGTTTAGCAAGAAGTTGAAAAATCGACGCTTCGCGTGATTGGCGGACGGGATGTTGAAGAAAGGAGAAGGGCTTTTGGCTTAAATAGAAAATTTTGGAAGAGAGCGGGGCTTTTTGGTCGTTACAAAGCCAACCGGCGCTTCTTCGGTTACGTTATTTTTGAATTTTGTGGAAGTTTTCCTGCGTAGTTGGATCCAGGTTTAATTAGAATTTTGTGTCTGCCGTTTTAAGAAGATTTATTGAGAAGTTTAAGAAGTTTGTCGTCGTCCTGTTTTTTTTTATTTTGCGGAAACACGGAAGTTTTGAATTTGTGGGTACCCGAAGAGAGAAGACGTCGGTGTTTGAGTGGTTGGTTTACGTGATTGTGTACGGATACCTCTTTTTTATCGGAATACGTTATTCGGACTAATTTTAAAAGTAAGTAGTAGTTAGTGTTTTGTTTTGTCATGTTTTTTTTTTGTAATGTTTGAGTAATTTGTTTTTTTTTGTGTGTGTCATTTATCTGTTTAAAATTGTAACATTTTGTAAAACAGAAATTTACGCAATTTTTTGTTTGAAATTAAACCAGTCATTGCAATCCAGGTTTTGTTTATTAGAGTCAAGGAGAGGTAATTGTCGGCGTCTCTTACTTTGTTTCAAGTTTATTAAATCTGGGGGTAAAATTTCATATTGGAATTTAAGGATTTGGTTAAGCCACCTATTTATGTCATTGTTGGAATGCTGTAGGGTGGCAGAATCCAGCTGGACCTTGAGATGCGGGTAAAAATTTGTTTTTTTTTAATTACAACTGAGCTAGCTAGAGGTAAATCGTGGGATTCCCAGAAGTGAAGGTTAGGTCTCACAACAATATAAACTTACTTTTTAACAGCAATGCCAATTTCAAATCTATGAATCGTTTTTTTTTTTCCTTCCCAAGAAACTAAATTCATTGCCAGCGAACTTATCTGTTATTAATTTTTTTGTCACTCTAAGTATAAATTCATATGCAGTGTTTTGCCTCCCAGTTTGGAAATTTCCCTTACCTATAAACAAGATGTGAAATTCAGAATGTTGTCATTAGGTAATTAAACTTACTGCGTCATTCAATTTTTTTTCATCAGATAAGAAATCTTCAACTTCTTTGAGAGTCTCATTGGAATTGATTGGCAAATTTTCAATCAATACAAAAAGTGAAGAGTCGTAGTCAGATTCATTTTTGTCATCTGCTTGTTTATTGCTCTGGATAGAATTTTCAATATTTTGAAGCTTTGTGTTCATATCAGCGACCATACATTGCAATATGTTCTGTTTCCGCAAAATCATTTTTAGATATTCTAGAATAATGTACACTTATAAGATGCATACATATATTTAAATAGTTCTTACCTGTGATATCACCAACATTATTCTTATCAACTTGCGTAGACTTGGATGTGATGGTAGTGGAATAACCGTTATTATTACTATTACTCGAAAGCGGTCTCACGTCTCGAAAGCCCTCTGGGAAAGACGTATTCACAGCATCAGTGATGTCATTATTCCCAAACTCTTCTGAATCAGTAAATGTTTGAAGTACTTGATTTGATGAATGTTGCGAAAAGACGCTTTGTTTATGTAAATTTGGCTGGGGAGGTTTTGGGAGTTTACGCCTCATATCTTCGTCATCTCCCGAAGAATCATTATCGCTACTTGACATTTTTCGTATTTTCCTTTTTCTTTTACTTGTTATGTGCTCAGGATGATCTTCCATTTGTGAATCCAAATCTGAAGTTATTGTTGCTTTGCGTGATTTACGTTCAGCTTCTTTAAAATTATCTGCATAATTTCAATAATTATAGAGAAGTGATAAATTAGTGTCTTACCAAATATATTATTCCTTAAGGGTAAAAATTGAAACTGCTGCCAAACTTCTTTATCGGGAGGGTCCCCTTTCTCAATTGCGTCTTGCAACAGTTTTCTATTATACGGCGGCCAGAAGCATATATTGCCATGTAGCCACGAGGTTGGTACCACGGATACAGAATTTTCTTCTGGGAATTTGATGACAGACCAGGTGAGATTCCCATTGTGTGGCATGCTTTTTATGCATAGATAGATGCATAGAAAAATATCAGTTAGAAAAAATAAATGAAAGTGATAAAAATCAGATTGTAGTGGGAAGTGCCTCTTCTTGACTAACGCATTAGTATCATGCATTGTAATACATAATTTGAAAATATCTTCTTTCTAAATGAAGAGAATGAAAAGAGACACTTTCCACTAAAAGCGTGAAAATTAAAATTAAACATAATTTACATGTTCATCCAATTACGTTGTATTCACAAACCAAAATAAGGTATTTTATTTGGTAGTTGCAGAATGTAACAAGGGAAATACTACAAATTTATTACCAAATGGGAATTTCACACATTTAAAGGCGATTTGATTTACGTTCAGACCTGTATGTTCAAGTTGCGCAATTTGTTGATTTGATTTAACTTGAGCATGTCTATAAGATGAGCGACTTAATTTATACTTTGGCATTGTAGGTATACGAAATCAACACAGGTATTAAATATTAATTGCAACTCACATCAATTGGCAAACATTAACGAATTCAGTACGTACCTATACGATATTATGTGCACCGCTATTTGCGAACGTAGATCACTCCGAACGCGCCCAGGTCCAATTATAATAATTCCGTCAATGATACAGAATGTCGTTTTATTTCACACTTGGCCAACTGCTAAAATTCAAAGGAAAATGTGGTTTTCAATGCAGGCATTTTTATAAGTGAGGTTAAGGTTTTTGTTCATAAATAAAATACAATTGCTGCAATGTGTAGTTACCATAAATAACAACATTATAAAAATATGTCATATACTTACGCAATTACAACCTGGAGAAGAAAATATTCCAACGAAAAATACAAGTCCAACGTCAACAGACACAAAACTTTGGCGCGCAATAATGGCGGACAAACCAAAACATGAATACTACCTAAGCCGCTTTCCTTTCAACTGATCAGAGCTGATCGAGTAACTCTGAAGAGCTCCGGTGTGTTCCATTACCACAGATCATTTTGATCTGGTTCATGTTTCCCTCTTCCCCTCATGCACGACCTTTTTCGCGGGAGCATTAGAGTAGATCAGTAAACATAACCTTAGTTCTTTATTTACATCTTTGCTTAAAATATTTTGCTTGGGTAATATCACGAAACAATAATGGAATTAATCCTAGAGGAAGACGACGTACAATATAAATTATGTGTATCAGAAACTGATTACAATCGTGCAATGACAGGTTTATATAACTATTTCTATGTAATCAAATTTTGCTAATTACTATATTTTATAGATCATGCATTTGCACAAAGTCTATTATTTCACGCAAAAGTTACCGGTAGTTCTATTAGTACAGTTGCCTCAAATCAAAGTCGTGTAGAGAACTTGGAACCGGCATCGGACAATTTGGAACAGTACTTGGAAAACGACCGTCACAGCTGGTCGCATGACGAGACGTTGTGTCTTATTAAGTCAATGGAAGTGCACATTGAGGATGAAAACCATCCTAAAAAAAGGAAATTCATTTTCGAAAATGTTGCAAATGATCTGATAAGCAATGGCTTTCAGGTGAACGCTACCGTGTGCCACAATAAGTGGAAAAACTTAATGCGATCTTATAAAACTGCAAAAGATAACATGCTAAAAACCGGAAGAGGACCAACTAGATTTTTATTTTTTTCTGAAATGGATGGGGTTCTAGGTGAAAAACCATCGAGCAGTGCGACACATACATTAGAATCTAATAACTTACAAAATTTACCCGACACATTGCCACCTCCCGAGATGTCTGCAATGTCCTCTCCGTCATCATCACGGTCATCAACACCCACACTGACACGAAGTAAAGAAAAAAAAGGAAGCATTCTACAAATAAAAAAAGAGGAATTTAGGAGAAAACATGAAAGACATAAGGAAAAAATGAGACTTCTTGAGATAAGGAACAAGGTTGAGGAACAGAAAGTGAATCTCTTACAAGAAATTTTAAATAAGTTAAACTCATAAATAGTTGTAATTATGTTGTTTCAATATGAATAGTAATTTCGTTTTTTAAATTATGTAATATTACATTGGGAATATGTTATATGTTACTATAAATATTTGTTTATTTCATGAAATAAAAAATAAAACATATAATCTGATTACGAAAACATTTCTTCAAATATTTGTTCTCTCCGATGCCTGGTTACGTTTTTTACATCTGACTGCAATGGTATTTCACTATTAACATCACTACTTATGTCATAAGGTTCTATTACTGTATTATCATGTTTGCTTTCACAAATATTGTGAAGCACACAACAAGCCATCATAATTTTCACACAGATATTGATATTTAAGTTCTCTAAATGTTGTAGCCTGCGGAACCTCCCCTTCAAAAGTCGAAACACATGTTCAACAATAATGCGTGTCGATGAATGTTTAAAATTAAACACTTTTTGATTGTTACTTAGGGCACCGTTGTCCTTAAATGGAGGTACTAACCAACTCAGAGATGGATATGCTGAATCACCCAGTAAGTATTTATTGCCAAAGAAATTAACATTATTTTCGGCTTTAGAATACAGTGAGGACCTCCTTAACAACCGAGCATCATGCAGAGATCCCGGCTCTCCACAATACACGTCAATAAATTGCCTGAAGCTATTGACAGTTCCTTGTATTAGCAAACTAAAGTATCCTTTTCTATTGATGTATGAGTCTTGATCATTTTTTGGCCTCCGAATTCTCACATGACATCCATCAATTGCTCCAATTACATTTTGACTGCCAAATTTGGTGGCGAAAGCTTTAGATATAACTTCTGTTTCCTCCTGCGTTGGCCACTTAATGTACTCAGTACGTAGAGACAGTATACAATTTAATACCCTTTCAATTACACGGTGAGCAGAGCTCAGTGACACATCAAAACGATCAGAAACCTGCCTAAATGATTCCGTGTTTCCAAGGTACCATAATGTCATAAGCATGGCCTTTTCACTTGATATTTTCATTTTTCCGTGTTCATGAACAGGGATGAAACCACTGTTTTCCAGTCTACTAGCTAACTGGTACACTATTAATTTGTGCATTCGAAAATGCAATTTAAATGTTGTTTCACTATAATTTACAACTACTCTTTCAATATATCCTTCAATTCGTACAATTCTAGCATATTCCTCAACCTCAGAATCAGTACTACTTTCACTACTGCTCCCACTAGTTTCTGGACCTTCCAATAGATTAATAATGACTGGTAATAAATCCATAATTAACTACAAAACCAATTTTTAGGTTAGGTGTTTTTTGGTAAACAAAATGAGTGTTCCATTCAACTTCAGAATAGAGTAGTTGGGAGTGGTTCACTTAAAATCTTAGATCATTTGAAAGGAAAGCGGCTCTAAACGAAATGGAATGAACCGTCGTTGATCGTCAGTCGAGTCGGCTGTCCTCGTGTCGTCCTCGTTCATGATTGACTTTTCAAATTGAATTATAGTTGTAGCCGGTCAAAGTTTGAAATTTTAATTAGCGTTGTTTCTATAGACACTTTATTACATTCTATACCAATTCAAGAATTATAAAGGTAGGTTTTACTATACAATTTAAAAACGTCCAGAGAACGTTCCCTGTATCTTAACAGACATGAGACTTATAATGAACGTTCGCAAGACATTTGCCTCAGTTCGTCCCTGGGACAACCTTTAAAATACGTCCTTTGAACGTTCATTTAAAGTCCCGGGACGTTGGGGCATTATTTGGCTATAAAATAAACGTTCGCCGAACGTTTGGTGCTGTCTGGGTTCCGACATTCCGCTGTGGAAATTGAATAACCTGCAATTTAGACAATTTTTGGAGAAGTACACAAACAAAAAAGTGCCTGACGAATCTACATTGCGCAAAAGATATTTGCAACAGTGCTTTCACGATGTAATTTGTGAGATTAGGGACCAAATGAAATATGAAAATATTTGGATTTCAATTGACGAAACCACCGATGCGGCGGGACAGTGTGTATGTAGTGCTGTAGTAGGAGCTTTGAAAGCAGGTAGCAAATCTTATCTTCTTAACATACAAATACTGGATCATGTGAATCATTCAACTGTGGCAAAATTCTTTAATGACTCCCTGACACTTTTGTGGCCAGAAGGCATACGGTACGACAATGTACTGTTGTTCCTTAGCGATGCTGCTCCATATATTGTTAAAGCAGGGTCTGGTTTAAAAGTGCTCTACCCTAAGTTAGTTCACGTGACATGTCTTGCCCACGGATTACATCGTGTCGCGGAAACAATTAGGACCCACTATAAAGATGTTGATCTCCTCGTTTCGTGTGTTAAAAAGGTGTTCATAAAATCACCGATTCGAGTTCAAAAATTTCATGAACTGGCTCCAAATATACCTTTACCACCTCAACCCGTTTTGACTCGATGGGGATCATGGTTGCAAGCTGTATCGTACTACGCTGAACATTTCAGCGAAGTCAAAGAAGTTTTTAGTGCTCTAAATGCAGAAGACGCTGCCAGCATTGGAACAGCACAAGAATGCTTTTCTAAAAAAGGTATTCAAGAGAAGATTCAGTACATTCACACTCACTTTTCCAAAATACCTGATGCTATTACTCAATTGGAAGCACGAAATAATTCTTTAGAACATTCACTTTCGTTGGTCGAGGAAATTTCAACTTCTTTATCAAAGGAAACGCATGGTGTAGTCAAATTTGCATACGACAAACTCTGCAACGTGTTACTGAAAAATTCCGGCTACAATACACTGCGTCAAATTTTGAAAAAACTTTCTGGTGATGACGTCATGTTTGAAGAGGAATACACGGACGAAGAGTTGTGGTGTTTTTCACATGCACTTGTGACGTCATGTGACGTTGAACGGACATTTTCAATGTATAAAACATTTTTTACAGATCGGCGAAGAAGTTTTACTCAGGAAAATTTGAGAATGACCTTCATTGTGTATTGCAATAAAGCAATAAATTAAATAATAAGCATTAAGTAAAAATACTTTTAAATAAATTTTTTGTTTAATATACTTATTTTGGTGCTTATTTCTTACATTTTACGTGCTTATTTGCATACTTATTTCACTGTTTGATTGCGCTTACAATACATCGCGTGCATGTGACGTCACGATACAACAGCTGATCGCTTGTAGGACAAACACTTCACTGCTCGCTATACGTTTTATGCAAATTGTGGCCCTAATTTTTAAATTTTTGAAATAGAATTGATTTGTTAAGTGTTGTAATATGTGCGATAAAAGTGACTATTTTAATACTTTACCAACAGACGTTAAAAATCGTTACTTGGACAAAATTAAATTAGTTAATAATGTAGATCCTTATTTAGTTAGTATTGGTACATGTTCAACAAACATTAACGATTTTCCTAGAGTTACGTATTTCGATATCGTAAATTATTTAGTTTTTAATAAAAGTGCGTACACACAAGATGAGTTTAAGGCATATAAAAGCCTGGAGGCGTACAATTTATTCCATTCTAAGTGGATTAAAACATTGTGTGTAAAGAAAATCACAAACTCAGATAATGTTTTATTACTTTCTGAGGTATGTTGCCTAACATTGTATAGTAATATATGTATATCTATAGTTTTTTCTTTCTTGCAGGTCATACATTCACAAAGGTTAAATTTACCTCCAGTTAGCCTTTGGTGTGTTGTAAAAAACAATGGTGAAGTACTTACAGCACATTGTACTTGTACTGCAGGTTTGGGGGAGTGCTGCAGTCATGTAGGTGCCGCATTATTCGCAGTTGAAGCTGCTGTTCGGGATACAGAGCCAATCTCGGTCACTGGTGAAAAGGCCTACTGGATGGTTCCAAACACAAACTTAGGTGTGCCTAGTAGTGTAGAAGAAGTGGATTATTCTGTGCATAAACATGAAAACAGTAGCACTTCAAGTAATAGTGATGTAGATGAAATAGGTGATTTAGAAAAGGCAACCTTTTTGGAAAAGCTCAGTGCGCTGAAAAATACCCCTGTGATATTAAAAGTTACATCCCCATATTGTTTTACGTTACAACAGGAAAACCAAGAAGCGACATATCAACGTGGAATTTTAAACAATTTGTATGATCAAAAACATGAAACCAAGACCTTGAACGAGCTAATCGAAGTTGGGAAAACAATTGATTTTCATCTAACTTCTGATGAATGTGCAATCATTCAAGAAAAAACAATGGGGCAAGCAGGTAACAAAAATTGGTTTTGTTTTCGTGAAGGGCGCATAACTGCATCTTTGTTTAAAGCCTGTTGCAGAACTAAATTAACAAAACCCGCAATAAGCACAATTAAGGCAATCTGCTACAAGAAACCTTTTTTTTCAAAGCAGACCACTTATGGATGCTTGCATGAAAAAGATGCTATAGAGGCATATAAAGCTTTCATGCTTCCAAAACATGAGAATTTTGTAATAAAAACGTCGGGGCTGATAATTAACTCAATGTTTCCATGTTTTGGTGCAAGCCCTGATGGTCTGGTGAGTTGCGATTGTTGTGGATCTGGTTGTCTGGAAATTAAATGTCCATACTGCGTGCGTGACAGCAATGTTGAGGAATTGGTTCACTTCAAGAACATGTGTTTAAAAGCAAACGTACTGGAGGACAATATATGGAGCATCGACCTTGATCAGAATCACTCTTATTTTCACCAAGTACAAATGCAAATGGCAGTTGCCGAAAGGTCATACTGTGATTTGGTTGTATGGTCGAAGAAGAATTTTTATCTGGAAAGAGTGTATAGTGACAAAACATTTTGGGAATGTGAGAGTGAAAAAGCATTAGCATTTTTTAATAATGTAATAATGCCTGAATTACTTGGAAAGTATTTTACAAGACTACTTCCTTTAAAACAAATATCTACAAACGTGCAAGATAATGTACCCACATCTAAGCATAAAGTAGGGCAACACGATATGATTTGTTGTGCTAACAAATACTGTAGTGTACAGTGGTACAGTTTAAAAGATTTAAAGAAAAAAAGTGTACCGAAGGGTGTGTGGTATTGTAAAAAATGTGCAACACTTAAATTTCGCAAATGATATATTTTGGATTCATTCAGACATTTTTTTTACAGTTAATCTTATTCTTTCTGGAATGTGATACATTATATTATGTACTTGATTGTTGTAGTGTATCTATCTTATTTGTATATATTGTAAATTTTTTCTTAAATTTATGAACTTTATTAATAACCAATACCTTGTACAAGTTGAAAGTACAAAAAATAGCTATTACTGTGGAACAATGCTTGGACAAAAATTAATAAGTGCACAAGATACTGTAAGAATTTTATCTATTGTTTGAATTTTTTTATATTTTGAACGAACCATAAACATTGGTAAAGTATTGGAAGTAATTTTATATTTTCTTCGTAAAAGCCCAATAACCCTTTCTACATGTATTCTTACATTTGCAAGTTTACGAGTATCCTCCACTTCTTTGGGATGCAACTGCTTTTTTCCTTTTAGAAATGCTGGCATTTGCACCTCTGCCATGCATAAATTGACACTATCTTTAATTAAAAAGCCTCTATCGGCTAATATGAGGTCCCCCGGAAGCAAATTTTTTAAAAACCCTGAATTTTCAGTAATAAATTTATCACTACTTCGCCCAGTAAATGCCTTTGAAATGAACATAACACTGCCCTGTGGCGAAATTCCAATAAAATATTTGATAGTGTGATGGTGTTTATAATGCGAAAAATGTTGAGAAGATGCTTCTTTATTTTTTGGTTTTTCTGTGAAGATCTCAAAACAATCTATTATTACAGTGACCCTATTCCCAAAATTTTCTTTAAAACATTTGGGCATTGTAGCACACAAACATTCTCGTTCTGGCCATTGTACAAAAGACCTTAATTTCTTGTAAAGGACATGCAATACATTTTTAAATATTCTTCCACAAGTGGAACGAGATATGTTAAAACGGTAACCTAAATCAGTAAATAATAAGTTTAAACGTAATTTCATTAGTGTTAATATTACTTGTTCAAATTTAGATAAAGTTGTGTTAGGCGTTATCATTATGTAAGGCTCTACAAGTTGAAAAACAATTTCTAAAACCTCAAAAGAGAGTCCCGTATAAAATTTACATTTTGCATCATCCTTCATATCACTCATACTAAATTTATGAACTGACAATTCCTTTCGAAGTCTGTATATCTCTTCATTTGCTTTTAATAATCCATACTCCAAATCCTTTTCTGTTACGTTTGTACATTCAGTTGTTTCCAGTGTGGATGTTAGATTATCAAAAACTTCTGCCGAATGAGTGGCAATTTCCATGTTAAGTAGGGGTTCCTGAATGGATTCCTTTAAAATAAATAGATTAGAGAGGTAACAGCCAAAACATACCTGCAAAGTGCCAATTACTTGTTTTATGCGTTTCTTGGATCTATTATATCTTTCCATACTCGCTTTTCGTTTGTCGTAACCCATATTCTGTGATGGTATCCAATCTGGATGGTTCTCATCACTTAATTTTGCAGGTTTTCCTACAAATTAACGGTCTTATTACTTTTTTTGTAACGTGATATTTCCAGCAGACCAACTAGAAAAGGAAACAACAATCTGTTTTCGACACATTTCACACATTGTAAGTCATATGCTTTTAACAAAGTATTCTTATTTTTTACTGGCGTGTTGTTGTTCCTTTTCCAAATAGTTCTACCTCTCACAGTTAACAAATTTAGCTAATGTCTAAATAACATACCTTCCAAAAAATGTCTTGAGCAAATCATTTGGTACTTTAATTTACTGTCCGTGAGATCTGTTCTTCTCGTTGCTAATATCCAAGCTTCTCGTCTACGTTCTTTTCTAGGATCGACCTTTTTGTTGTTGTCATATATGGAAGGAAAACGAAAAAACGACACTTTGTCTCTATTACTTCTACTGCCACATTGAGCAACAGCGCAAAAGTTGGGCATATTGTCCTAAGCCTTCAAAGTACTTTTTATGTCTATATAATTACTACACTACACTTGCTACACTATATTAAATTACTTTAAACGTTTTATGTTGCCGTACGCAAGTTTATTCTTCAGTTTATTTTCCAATTTTTTCCTTAATAGTATATTAACCTGTATGAAATGAGGGTATGTTTGTCCTACGAGCGATTTGACAGCTGTTTTTTGATCACGTGATGCACGCGATGTATTCCGGGCTCTAATCATAACCTATCTTTTTCCTTGTTGTGTTTACATTTTCCCATTTGCTAGATTTTCCGTTTACGATCTTTAAAGGTGGATTTATAAACTTGACGTTCGCAGTTAACGTTGCCGTTGCCGTTTAGTTACCGTTGGAAGTTGGCAGTTCGTTTCGAATTGACATTTATAAAACTACGTTCGTGACGTTGTTGAGTTATTTGACCTCTGCATTCTAACTACTCAGTATGAAATAACTATTATAGTACATAACCTTAAAAGTATTTCGTTTATCATTTCATATAAATATTCACTTTTCTACCTTTAAAAATGGACGAGTATGATGTGTTGTTGGGTTTATCTGGCGTTTTATTGTGTTACGCAGCAGCGAAAATAATACAAAGACGACCGCGGCGATTTAAAACTCGTCCAATTAACAGAGACCGTAAATTAACTGGAAATTACCGATACTACCAAAAATTGAAAAATTTGGATTCTCCTCAATTTTTCAAATACACTAGGATTGTATAATAGTATAGATTATTATTATGTAAAAAGTATCAAGTTACTTGTGTCTTGATGTTGTCATAATAATGTAATGACTTGCAGAAATAAATTATATTTAATTACAATACTTACAAGTAATACATGGTGTCAGGTAGCCAGTGAACCTGCGTAGTGAAGGCGTATAGGTATATGAATAGTAATTTTCAAGCTTGATTTTAGTCTGGGATTTTGCTTGACCTTGATAAAAAGTGAATACAGAATCCGATACCAGGAGTGAAACCAGTAGCGAATTTGAGTTCTACGTAAGCTCAGTGTCTGGAAGGAAATCAGAACACCAGAACTCCGAAACAATGTGGACGAAAGAAGTGCTAGTTAATGGACAACCTGTTGTTTTTAAATTAGATACTGGGGCAGAGGTAAGCACATTACCTTTAAGTATTCTGAAGAAAGTTGCACCAAATTCCGTAATTAAGAAGAGTAATATTACGTTAATATCATATGGCGACCCGAACTTTAAATTGAAAACTTTAGGTGAAGTTCAACTAGATTGTGTTGTAAAAAACTGTCATCAACAAGTAACATTTATAGTGGTGAAGGCTGCAGATCAAATTCCTCTTCTGGGAGTGCAAGAATGTTCAGACTTACAGTTACTAAAGAGACTAGATTCAGTAACAAATCAAAAGTTGTTTAGATCTATAGATGATGTGATTAGTAAGTATAAGCATGTTTTTGAAGGGTTAGGAAAGTTTCCTACACAACATCACATAACTTTGAAAGAAAATGCTAAGCCTAAAATAAATGCAATTAGGCGTGTCCCACATATTTTGTTAAAACCACTACAGAATAAGTTGTGTGATCTTGTGTCCAAGGGTATTATTGAAAAGGTTGATAAACCATCACAATGGGTACATCCGTTGGTGATTGTTGAAAAAACAAATGGTGACCTAAGATTGTGTCTTGACCCCAGGGACTTGAATCAGGCTATCCAGAGGGAACATTTTTTGATTCCTTCTTGTGATGACATTGCTGTAAACTTATCTAAAAAGAATGTCTTTACCGTACTAGATATGAAAGACGGTTATTGGCAAATTGAGCTAGATAACGATAGCTCTGATTTAATGACCTTTGGTACTCCTTTTGGGAGATACAAATTTAAGAGACTAGCATTTGGGCTGTGTTCAGCACCTGAGGTATTTCAAAAAAAAATATTGAGGTTTTTGGTGACTTACCCGGAGTGGGTTTATATTTTGATGATTTGATTGTTACTGGATCCACAGAAGCTGAACACGACCAAAATTTGAAGGGTGTTTTGGAAAGAGCATCTCAATATAATATAAAATTCAACAAAAGCAAAATACAGTTCAAAAAGGAGAGTATCAAATTTATGGGACAGATTTTTTCAAAGAAAGGCATAGAAACAAACAAAAAATACATTGAAGCAATTTTAAAAATGCCTCTTCCACAGTGCAAGGCTGATGTTTTAAGATTCTTAGGGATGGTAAAATACGTGGAAAAATTTATACCTAATCTTTCCAAATTGACTGCTCCTTTGAGAAATTTGACCAGAAATGATGTAACTTTTGAATGGAAAGATGAGCATAAAAATTCTTTCAATAATTTATTATATTTGCTCACTAGCGCTCCTGTGTTGTGCTATTTTAATTCACAATATCCAATCGAAATTGAAACTGATGCATCTAAAGATGGGCTGGGAGCCTGTCTATTGCAACAAGGTAGGCCAATAGCGTTTGCGTCTCGCAGCTTGACAAAAACTGAGCAAGCTTACGCTCAAATTGAAAAAGAGACTCTGGCTATTCTTTTTGCTGTAAAAAAATTTCATTATTTCATTTATGGCATGCCCACAAAAATACATAGTGATCATAAACCGTTAGAGGCAATATTTAAAAAAGACCTTCAGTCAGCATCACCGAGAATTTTAAGAATGCGATTGAAATTACTGAAATATGATCTTAACATACAATATAGGCCAGGAAAATATATGTATATCTCTGACGCTTTGTCTCGTGCATTTTTGAGACAAACATCACCCCGGACAGACAATGACATAGAGTTTGCGGTACACTCAGTTATCCGAACCCTACCTATGTCCAAAGACAGAATTCAACAATTTGCTAATGAAACAATGAAAGATAGACAACTAAGTCAAGTTCTTTACTTTATTAACAATAGTTGGCCTGATCAAAAATGTAAAATTCCAGATAATATCAGAGTCTATCATAAACTTAAGGAAAAATTGTTTGTGTTTGAAAATTTGTTATTCTTAGAAAATAAGTTAGTAGTTCCGCGTAAGCTAAGGTTAGAGATGATCAAATTACTGCATGAAGGCCATTTAGGTATGGAAAAAACAAAATCTCAAGCCAGAAAAGTTTTTTACTGGCCTGGAATTACAACAGATATTGAGACATATATTAAAAGTTGTAAAATATGTGAGAAATTTGCCAGAAAAAACCCTAAACAAAATATATCACATCCAATCCCTGAAAGACCATGGGAACGTGTAGGTTCAGATATTTTTACTTATGCTAATCAAAGCTATTGTGTGTTGTTTGACGCATACTCAAACTGGTTAGAAGTTTTACCTATTAAGAATAAATGTGCCGAGTCTGTAATTTGTGAACTTAAAACAGTTTTTGCAAGGTTTGGTTCCCCTGATATACTTCTTACTGATAATGTGCCGTATAACAGTGAGAAATTCTTGGAATTTGCAAAAGATTGGAATTTTACTCTTGTTACACGTAGTCCAGAATATCCACGTTCAAACGGATTAGCAGAAAAAGCAGTATCGATTGCTAAGAACCTGCTTAAAAAATCTTTAGAGGAAGGCAAAGGCGAATTAAGTTGCGCTTTGTTGAACTATCGCAATTCATCATTAAAAGGGATGGGATATTCTCCATCACAGCTCTTAAATAGCAGGAATTGTAAGACTAAAGTTCCAATCACTTGTGATTTACGACAGCCTAAGTTGTGCGAAAGTGTTACTCAAAAAATGCTTAAGAAGCGAGAGCTCAATGAAAACTATTTCAATAGAACAGCTAAAACGTTAAAACCACTTAATGAAGGTAGTGATGTGACTGTGTTAAATCACAAACGCAAAATTTGGGAACCCGCCAAAATTGAAAGAATGCATGAGAATCCACGATCATATGTGTTACAGGATTATAAGGGCAACACTATACGAAGAAATCGCGTAGATATAAGACCGTCACAAAACGCATTTAAAGTGACTGACACATCATTTGAACCTGAATCTTGTTCAGGCACTGAATCTTCTGATAGTGATGTCCGTGTTGTACCTAAGCCTGAAATTTGTAAACATAGTCCCTCATTTGTACCATCAGAGACAAATCGTCGGCCTCATACGAAAACCTTGTAACTCCAAAAATTTCAATTTTACAGGGCAATAAAAAAACTATTTCTTTTTTTTCAGAGTTAAAAATTGAAAGATGTTAGGTATCAAATATGAAGGTAAAATTACTGTCTATCTTAATATGAATATACACAGGTATTTAAAAAAAACGATGTAAATGGAGGAGATACGTGGTTTTATTATAAAAAGGCGCCATGGACGGGACTTACAAGGTATTCGATTTTAGGAGTTACGAGGTTTGCAAATATTATGTGCAGGTGATAATGGAGTTACGCAACTTTCATATTTATTTTTATTGAAATCAAAAGGATAAGCAAGAAAACAAAATGGTTAATGAAACAATGTTATCTTTAATTATTATGTTTGTAGAAAACTAATTAGTATTGTAAGGTATATTATCATAAAAATCGCGATAATCCGCCATTACGTACTCTTTTAAGGCCTGCAGATGTTCAAATTTGTCGGATTTAATCTTTAGTCTTTCGCTGTAAAGCGGTAGGATGTCAATTTTGGGATTTTTATTTATGCGTACAGGAAGAAGTTTCCATTCATGGGAGTGCCTAAGTTTGTATTCAATCTCACAAGTTGGTTTATACTTGATGGCGCGTAGGTCCTGCACTGTGGGATCCCCAGCTTTTTTCCCGGGTCTTATGGAAGCGAGGAATCCTAATTTTGCATAGTTTAGGAAATAATCATGGGTTAAGTAGTGTACTTTGTACGGTTCTGGATTTTGTCTTGCCTGTAAGCAAACGTCAATATAGTCGGCGGGAACATTTATTTTTCTTTTTCTTAAGACCCGTTCTATTGAAGAATGAATACTATCGGCCTCCATTTGGGTGTGGCCACGTTCCAAGTATTTTTGTACAATAGTTATTTTTTTTTCTGTTGCAATGTAAAGCAAAGCATTTGAAAGAACGGAATTTCTATTCTGTCCAGCGCAACCATCACTGTAAAGAATAGTTTCCTCCCCCTCAATTAAATTTGTCGACTCTTTTCGTATAAAGTTGCAAATTATTGTAGTGAATTCATTTGCCCCCACAGAACCCTCTGTTTCATTCCATATGAAGCAGAATGCTTCTTTGGTTTTTATGTTATAAATTGTGAAATTATGCACAATTAGTTTTTTCTTGTAATAAAGGCTCGACACATTTGAGTGTGGGGCCAGTAAAACTGATTGTAGATCCATAGTGTACACTTTATTCCTTTCGTCAGTTTTATCTTTGGCTTTCTCTTCTCGGGCTTCTTTCTTCTTTTCCTGGTGTACCCTATAGATAGCCTCTTCTAGATTTCCCATTTGGTTTGAAACACAGATGTTGCACTCGTCTTTCTTAGGGGTAAATAAAGCTAGGTTCATATCATCAAAAGTGTACGAAAACAATGTTTTTGACACCGGCTCTGTCCCATTTTCTTTGCACCAATTAGTGCTGTATTCACCGTACAGGTGCATTTTGGAACGCCAAATTGGTTCAAGATATAATTTTTGGGTAGTTGCGCGACAGTAGTGGAACTCCAACTTCGGTAAAGCCGCAAAGAAATTCTTGAGGCACAATTTCCTTTCCTCAAATACATTCTTTCTTAATTTTTCTTCTTTTCCTTGTTCCACTAACATTTCAGCTTGAGTTTCCTCGCTATTATTCATCAGATGTTCATGGTGCACTTCCTTCGTCTTCCAATCCCTCACTGTCCATTCACCGACACTTAAAGTATTTAAGAACATTTTTTTACACACTTTATATTTTACGTCGTCTTTTTTCAAGTAATAATTGAAACTATTTTTCCTTCTTGATTCGTGGTCATTTTTTCTATGCCTCTGCCGTTTAGTGTCGTCAACACTCATAAGCATCGCAACAAAAACTTTCTTTGCACTTTTTTCAAGTTTCCAGAAGCGGTTAAATATTTTCAGTCTGTCGTCTTCCGAAAAAATTGTACAAAAAAACGATGACTTAGATTTCATACCTTTGGTAGAAATTTGGCAATTACAACGCTCTTGTAGATTTTTTTTGGTTTGGATATCTTGTAATTCCATTTATTTTCAATTTTTTTCTTTCCATAGTATTCTAAGCCCTTTTGTCGTTTTATTTTATTATCATTATCAAACCATTCATTTTGATTCACGTGCCTATAGTTTTCTTTCTTTTCCGTTTTTCCTCATTTGGCTGTTTTTCCCTACTGACAGATGGGGTGTCTTCCTTTTCATCAATAGCATCTGTAGGCGTGGATTTAGATGAACTTTCTGATAACTCGTCTGATGACTCTCCTGTCAAGTAATCAGGATCTGTGGTTTCCGCGACGGAAGGTCCAGGGTGTGAATGTTGTTCAATTTCTACTCCTTCATTTAAGGAGGAGATTTCCAACGGCTCATTGATAGCTTCTAAGAAGTTACTATCAATTGAAATATTCTGCACATTTTCTGGCAAAAGATTTGTGATTTCAGACAATTCAGGTTCAATTGAAATATTATTCTGCACATTTTCTGGCAAAAGATTTGTGATTTCAGACAATTCAGGTTCAGTTACTTCAGTATCATGCGTAAGGTCCAAATCAAAAACGTTATTAAGAGTAGTATAGACTGGTTGGTTGGTGGCGATTTCAGTTACGTTACTTGGAGCTAGGAAACTAATGTCCTCTTGTAAGGCCAATTGCAGAATCTTTTTGCTGCGCGACATCTGCAAAAATTTCCATTTGTACACTCACATAATTCTTTAGTATAAACTGTATAAACGCCTTTAAAACAGGAAGTATGTATGATGAAAACATTGTTTACATTTAGGTACATAATATTCTCACAATACTCGAAAAATGTTACTGGTCCTATTGGTTCTTATTTTGACTGCTGATCATCCTAAAGATACTATTCACTCGTTCCATACATTTTTAAATTGAAATTAAACGACACCAACGTCTCGTGAGTCATCAAAAGTATTCCATATAACTGGCATTCTGAACACATTAACATTTTCCACATAACCATTGCACAAATCCTACATTTATAGTAAAATAATTCAGTATAGATTGCTTACCTCTTAATATTTACTTTAAGCAACGCACATCACTTATTTACTGAAAATGCAGCTGATTACCGTTGACATTCAAAATATGGAGTTACGCGGTTTTCGTGTTGGTGTATGACAAGTATGGAGTTACGAGGTATTCTATTTATTGAATTACAGGAAACATTTTTAAAATAGAAATTTGACGGTTGTACCACATGTTGAATTAATTATTTAGCAACAGATGACGCTTAAATCTCAATTTTGCCATAGATATATAAATACATAGATACAGCCATACCCCAACATAGTTCAAAAGGACGTACCATCTATTACCATCACTTTCGGCACATTAATTACGTATAGCGCTATCCTTTATAGAGATACCCTGAGCATGGAAGACAAGATTCGCATTATTTATTATAACTACTGTCAATCAAATTGTTAGCACAAATCACACAGAAAATTATCAGATTTGAGACTTTACAACATAAATAAACCGCCTTTTTATTTATTTAAATCGCATAGCAGCAAGAAATGTTGCATTTAAAATGGAAGATGTTACTTGGAAAGCTGGTCAATGAAGAATTTGAAAAAATTACAGCTGACAACTGGAAGAAAGTGTGTGAACATGTGGAAAGTGATTAATTTAAAAGAGAAGTTATATTTGGTTGATGTGGCTGAACTTTATAATAAGTGTTAATAATGACAGTGATGATTCGAATTTGTCAATTTCATCTGACGATGATTCGGATTGTGAGCTTTTACAAACGTAATGAATGTTCACTAAATGAGTATTATCACCAATTGGATATCATTGTTAAGGTGTTGTATTTATTTTAAATAAATGTACACGTGTAGCTTACTTACTACAATTAGCACTATAATTTCAAAAAGAAACCCCACCGAATGGACATATGCCGAAAGGTAGGCAAGACGCGTAGCGACCAAAATTTGATATTGCACGCACACACAGTCTAAAAACTCGTTTCCCTAAGAATATTGGACGGATCCTTCTTTGTGATCATGATACAAACGCACTGCATCAACATCATATAGGCCAAAATGATAATTGGAAACGAATTCACTTCCTGTCGCAACTTAATTTCCTTTACCATTACGCCTAAAACCATGCAATTAAAATTAAAATGTTGAACATAAACTTTACTTACTTACGGTTTTTTTGATATTCTGCAAGCCAGCAATGAATTCACTGCAGCACATCATGTCAAACAAGGTAAACATAATCCCAAATTTGAATGGCGTAGCTGTATGTAATAAAACTATTTCAGGAATAACAATTATGGACGCGTCTATCATTATGGCAAGCACTAATGTTATTCGTATTCAATTGATAACGCAATAATAACATAATATTTAGGGAAAAAACCGCCCATCATGTTTAGGGCGAATATTTTTAGTTAGATTTGATTTCGCGCGATCGTGAAATGTGTCAACTGTCACATGACTTATGGGACGCGATAAGTTTGTTTTAAGCGTCCGATCCGCGTACGACATAGTGGTTAAGGCAATAAAAAGAGATAGAACATGTTTCATCTTGGTTAGAAAGTAATGGAGAGATGTACAAATTTCTTTGATATGTTTTTTAAAAACCGAGGTATGTTTGTTAAGGATGGCTGTATCTAGGTATTTATATATCTATGAATTTTGCCCTAAAATGGACTTACGAGGTTTTCGTATGAGGGCGACGAAATACAAAATTAACTACTCGTTCAGGCAGAACTATAAAACAACCAGAAAGGCTAAACTTGTGAGGGAAGATGTATAATAGTATAGATTATTATTATGTAAAAAGTATCAAGTTACTTGTGTCTTGATGTTGTCATAATAATGTAATGACTTGCAGAAATAAATTATATTTAATTACAATACTTACAAGTAATACAAGGATGAGCCTACCAATTTTTCAAAAACTGTTAGACATGATTAAATTGGACCTCCAAAAACAAAGAAGACGTGATACCATTTCTCCCGAAGAGAGATTAGTTATAACATTGCAGTAGGTGTTTTCATTATTTAATGTTGTTCTATTGTCTAAATCTTCAGATATTTATCTCAAGGCACAAATATGCAAGTGCTTGCATGGACATTTCATATAGGCTTAACAACAGTGCATCAAATAATCCTTGAAGCATGCAACATTATTTGGGAGCGGCTGAGCCCACTGTACCTAAAATCCCCTTCTAGTGAAGCCGAATGGGAAAACATTGCAGATGGTTTCCTTCAGCATTGGAATTTTCCTAACTGTATAGGTGCCATTGATGGCAAGCACATCAATATTCAGGCACCTGCTCGCAGTGGGAGCTTATTTTATAATTATAAACATAATTTTAGTGTAGTGTTATTAGCAGTATGCGATAGTAAGTATCGCTTTACATTTGTTGACATTGGGGCATACGGCTCCCAAAGCGATGGTGGCGTTTTAAAGAATAGTGTATTTGGCAAATGTTTGGAAGAATCTACATTAAAAATTCCTAAACCGACAAGTTTACCCAGTAGTGAGGTTGTTTTGCCTTATTTTTTGGTAGGAGATGAAGCATTCCCTTTGAAGGAATACATAATGCGACCTTATCCGGGGCGCAACTTAAATGACCAGCAAAAGATTTTTAATTATCGTTTGTCCAGGGCGAGGCAGACGATAGAAAATACTTTTGGGATTTTGGTTGCAAGATGGCGATTGCTCAAAACCACAATAAATGCCAAAGTAGAAAATGTGGATAACATTGTTAAATGCATAGTCGTTTTGCACAATTACTGCCAAACAGAAATGTCCACAAGTACAGATTTATATTGTCCTCCGGGGTTTGTAGACTCGAGCGATTGTCCCAATGGAACCTGGAGAGAAGATGCACCCCTTCAATCTGTGGGAAGAACAGGTGCAAATATTGCCCGTAAAACAACTTACCAAAATAGGGACAATTTAGCTAATTACTTAGTGTCTAAAAATGGCGAAGTTCCATGGCAATATGACATGATCAAACAATCGATGTTACTTAAGTAATTTATTGTTAGTTATTTAATTTTTTTTTTACTTTTTGTACTACATCTAATATTATAAATTCTTAATCTTAACCTTAAACTATGTTTTATACTATTCTACCTATTTACACCAATAATAAATTAATCTAAATCCTCTAAAATTTTTAACATTTTTTTTCGTTTTTCTTTGGCCTCTTCGGGAGGCATCTCCATTAAACGAGTAAAAACATACTCTGTAAAGGTCCGGTTTTGTTCAGGTGGTGGTGCAGCTGCCTTCGCCTGAAGAGTACTAGCAATTTGTTTCGCTGTATTTATCACCTCATCGAATTCCAGGCTTCGTTTCGATTTACTGCCTGCTTTAAATAACTTTTACATTAATTACAAAGAACACTGCAGAACATCACCTTTTTGGCTTTGTCGAGTTTCAGATGCATGGCTCGAGGTCCCACTAGCTTCTGCTCCTCTTTCCGGAGTAATGGTTTGTTCCATAATCTCCTCAATGTCGCCCTCCGATTGCGGTGATAAAATTGTCTCGATCCCGGACCACCCTGACGATCGGGACGATGTTCGGGATGAAGAGGGAGATCCGTCATGGACCACTGCGACTGTTGCAGTATGCGTTCTGAAAAAATTGATGGCTGTAGTACATTTCAAATTCAAGAGAGTTAGAAATTACTTTCTGGGCCGGGTACATTTACTGTAAAACGACATCTTTTCAGAGTACACCCAATTGGTGTCGCCTCCTCCTGAGCCAGATGGTTTTAATCTTTTCTCTCGGGTAAACCGGTCTCGTACGTTCTTCCACAGCTTCATACAATCTTCCACTAAAAGAAACGTCAAAATGAGTTCCTAAATTACAAAACATATGGTATATACGAACCACTGCATCTGGTTATTTCTGAAATCTCCTTCCATGCATCTTCCTTTTTTTTGCGTTTTTGTACTCTTTGTGGGAGAGATCATACAAAAATTCATAATTTTGAATTAATTCAATTAGAAGACCTGTAACGTCGGTTTGGTCTGAAATTGTCGAAATTATGCATATGTGATTAATAAAATGGACACCTTACCTGCGTCTCCCATTGGAATTAATTAAATAAATAATTAAATAAACAATCAAACTTCTCTATTTATATATACATGATAAATGACAATACTGAATACACTGTAGTGTAGTTCTTGTACACCGTTATAAAGTAGGTCAGAACGGGTTAGAGAATGTCAATTTTTGGAAGCATCTTATTGGCTGGATGTTGAACGGCGAACGACGAACTTAAAAGATGGTCATGTCTTGAACGGCAGGAACGTTATCCGAAACTGCAACTGCAGCGGCAACGATGTTTATAAATAGCGCCATATAGTTACTTTAGGTTAACATTAAACGACGAACGGCAACTGAACTGCAACTGCGAACGTCAAGTTTATAAATCCACCTTAATAGTTCTTAATTTTCTATAATTGTGTGTTACTTGTGAGATATTTTTCTTTTTAACATCCTGTAGTGGTTTTATCCGTCCGTAATTTTATACCAAACCCCTTTCCTAACATTCGACTGTCTTGTTCGTTGCAAAGGTAAGAGACTGCAGTCGAATATTAGATATTGTCTAATACTATGCTGTTTAGATGGGCTTGTGTTATGCACCGGATTGTAACCACACCCATAAGAATGGTTGTAAAATGTTTACGTTTCCAACAGATCAAAATCTAAAAAAAAAGTGGGAAACGTTGCTTCGGTAAGTTGAAATTAGTTTTGTGAATATATTTATTAACAACTCTCTACAGAAGAGCAGACAGGCAGCCAAATCGATTCTCCGTGGTCTGTGCATGCCAGTTTGTTAATAGGAATAGAGAAAACCTTCCTACCTTATTTAAACGGAATAATTTCCAGTTTTCTCCACCTCCTCCAGAAGTAAGGAAAAGGCAGAAAAAAATTGTAATGTAAGTGCATGTATTTCCCAAAAAATGATCTTAATAGTGTTAACTGTGGTTTATTTAGAAATCAGGACACACCAGTTGCTCAATCGACAAAGGTTGTAGAAAAGTGCACGAGTGAACCCAAAGCCTCCACTTCAGAAAGTACAGTGCTGTTACAATCAGAAGCTTACTTCCGGGAGAAAGAGATGGCTGAACTACAATCAAAAATTGCGAATGTTTCTGTGGCATTTGGTTACCACACAGTAAAAGACAATAACAAGCTTGTTGCGTTATATACTGGACTACCCGATGCTGGTGTGTTTCAATCTCTCTGCAATTATGTGTGCAAATGAAAAATTAAGTATTACTATGGGTGGACAGTAGAAAAGTTGTGTAAGGAAGATCAATTACTGCTCACTTTAATGAAACTGAAACTAGACTTAATGCAAGTAGATTTGGCAGTGAGGTTTGGTATATCGCAAAGCACTGTATCCAACATCATCCTTACGTGGATACACGTGCTCAAGGAATGTCTTTACGATAAAATATTAGGCAAATCTCTTCCGACAACCTCAAAAATTAAAACCTGTTTACCTTCTGCGTTTGCTACGTTCACAAACTGCCGCATTATAATAGATTGTACTGAAATTTATACTGCAGTAGCTGGCCAGTTGGATAAGCAAAAACAAACCTACAGCAATTACAAGCATAGGAACACATTAAAAGCTTTAGTTGGGGTTGCTCCCAATGGAGTAATTATATTTGTTAGTGATTTGTATGCGGGCAATACCTCTGACAAAGAAATTGTACGAAACTGTGGAATATTAGAGTTGTTGCAAGCAGGTGATTTAGTCTTAGCCGACAAAGGATTTTTAATAGCAGATTTGTTACCTCCAGGTGTTTCCCTAAATATTCCACCATTTCTAATGAATAGACAGTTTACTCCAGAAGAAATTAAACAAACAATGGCTATAGCTAAGGCCAGGATTCATGTAGAGAGAGCGATTCAAAGAATAAAAATTTATAAAGTTTTACATTTCATACCTGCAGCATTAAGGCCATACAGTAGTGACATTTTTAAAGTGTGTGCATGCTTGGCGAATATGAACTACCCACTTATCAAGGAAGTTGAGGAACAGTACAATTTAGAATAAAACGTCAATTTTCATTTTAATGATCACAATGTTTTATTTCATACTGTGTAATGAGCATTATATTTTCTGGTGATATTATCATACTCAAAATATGTAAACATGTCAACATATTTCTTGCTATGTAACTATATTATTATAATTGATATTGTATCAAAAATACTAGTACTTTATTCGCATAGGTGTTTAATGTACTGATTATAATAAAACTGTAACAATTTTGAAATATTAATTTTCCATGCATCATCCTTATCAATTTTTTTAACAATAAAATCGACAGTTGACCAAATGCATAAATAGCATGAATCCCTGTTTAAAATGTGTAACTGTCCTTGGATTTGATCATAGTAATCATGCTTATATCATTAACAATATAGTATATTTCATTACCAGTCCAGAAAGGAAGATTTTCCCGTGGGCGCATGACGTTTCCCGTGTGAGGCGAAGCCGAACACGGGAAGTCATGCAAACACGGGAAAAGCCTTTCTGGACGTGTAATGAACGATATTTTTCATCATACCTCTCCGAAAATAACGGAGAATAATTATTTACATTGAAGTCCAAATCCAATTTGACAACAAATTCTGTTGCTTGTCTTATGACCCTTAAACCCCCATTATCTTCAACGCATCATCAATAGTCGAGCGAATTGTATCGTCTCCCCTGCATCTTGCTCCAAATTTCCGAATACTAAAATAACCTTAGTAAGTAATCACCATTTTATCTCTGCAGCTTCATTCAAAAATTGCTCCCTTGTTATACAGAACTTTTGATTTTTTTGGGATATAGCGGACGGTCTGACGCTTCAAAAAGTCGGTTTTGCACAATTTGCTAGCGTTTTCATTTTCTTTTACCGTAAGAATGTTCTTAATCATTGAAAACCTACTCCATAACGTACTCTTTTCACGATTTCGTCAATGCACCAGTTATGAAATTTTTCATATTCCTTTTCGCATCTCTCTTTTGATTTCGCTGGTAATAGTTGGGAACTGGTTTCTGCAGCTTCCCTTAATATATTAGCGGGAATTTCGCCTTCACCAAAATCCATTTTTAACACAATGGTAAAAAATCGGTTGACATATATGTCAAAGTCAATCCGCGGTATGCATGGCAACGCATGGGATAGGGATAGCTATGGCAAACTTGATTATTCGTAGCGCACGGGAAAAAGTTTTCCAGTGCGCTCGCACGGGAAAACCCTACTTTCGGTGCGCTTGGGATACATGAAAAGACAGTACTTTCGGAGAGGTATAATGAAAAAATCATTATCTACATATTTTAAAATGTAACCATTCTCAACACTTAAAACAGTTTTAAAATTTGAATCTTTATATCTGAATGGACATTTTATTTCAATTAATTCATTTTCCCCGATTAATCCATCTGGGCTAGCACCAATGACGCCTTCCTTAGAAAACCAGATTCCTGTAGGAGTAACTGTCACATTATATTGCTCTTGAAATTTTTCAATGGCCTTTTTTTCATTATACCTTCCCCACTGAATTTGTTTCACTCCGTCTAAGTTGTATGATCCTGAAAACGAACAAATTGTTAAGATATTTAAAACCGGAGAGCAAACAAATACCTGTGAGGGTTTTGAAGAGAGATGGGGGGAATCGGCCTCTATCCATGGCTTTAATTATTTTCCCAAAATTGCTAGCAGTTTATGCTTCCGTGCAATTAACCAAAAAGTATTTTCATTTTGTCCCACGGTTACATTTGCAATGCTTACAATTTCTTCTTCCTTCAATGTCAATTTTTCTTGTAAATATGCAATTTTGTTTGTAGCTGTTATATAACCATCAGAAAAAATAATTGATTCAACATTCACAATAATGTCTACGGTATCTTCTTTAGGTGATGGGGCAAGCAACCATCCCATTCCAGTTGGACCGCATGCTTTTAAATCTTCATAGAAATGTTGTACGGCTTCCTCCGAGATGTCTTCATCCACGGCAGCATATTCCAATGAAGTTGATGGTTTAGGAAATAAATCTGTAACCTTTTTCATGCTGCTACATTTTGCTGGCTTCACCCAAGAACATGCGGTATCAGTAATTGCAATGTTATAGTGAACAAATAGGGCTACTGCGGCCATGTGGTGACATAAATATAAACCGCGAGGACATGTGCAGGTGCTCTCCATTATGGAATCCTTTGTAATTACAAGCTAAAAAATTATTACGGTAATTCTCCAATACCGGGGCACAATTTGGTTCAAACCTCAACTTTGTACACTTGCTTCTTCATACTTGCAAGTACTTCACCTTTCACAGTTGAAATTTCTTCAATAAACCGCACCTTTTGCACATGGCCACTATTCAGTGAATTTTCTCCCTTTTGAATGGTACGCTTTTCCTCAAAGTAGGTTAAAATAGTTCCGATTGACAGAATAGGCTTGCGAGACATCTAAGTAAACAGTATTATCAACAAAACGTATTTCATTTCATTCTCTTACCTTTGTAACGAACAAGATTAAGTTGAATGTTAGGAAAGGGGTTTGGTATAAAATTACGGACGGATAAAACCACTACAGAATGTTTAAAAGAAAAATATCTCACAAGTAACACACAATTATAGAAAATTAAGAACTATTAATGATCGTAAACGGAAAATCTAGCAAATGGGAAAATGTAAACACAACAAGGAAAAAGATAGGTTATGATCATTCCGTACTGCCAACCGTAACGTGTAAATATGGTAGGCACATTTTTAATTCTTAATTATAACGCAATTAATGGACTTTATTTAACGCTTATTGCTCTGTTTTAAAGTTAAGTAATCAGTGTTTGGATATAAGAGGGTCGATATGCTTATTTGGTTGAGTGCCAGAATTAACCGGTAGATGTAGGGTAACTACCGGTAGAAACTTCGATCGTTCCAGAATTAATCGGTGGGGCACCACCGCATGTTCCACTTTTAACCTACAAACCATTAGGCATTTACGTTAATTGCACCGGTAAATACCGGTTTGTACCGAGCGCGTTCTACAATTCATTTCCATCTACCTACCATCGTTCTTTAATGTACCGAACTTTACGGTGTTTATGAACCTGGTGCACCACAAGTGGACCGGTGAATGTTATCGGTTAGAGAGGTGTGGTGCTGTTTTATAACCTCAAACTCCTATAAAATAAAATTATTTCGTTAAGCAACACATAATTAATTTGAAGTATGTGTTCTTTAAACAATTTCCAAGCTGTTGTGGATGAAAGCAACAATGTCATATTTAAGGACAATCAGATTCTTGTGTACAATCCAACAGGTAAGTACCTAATAGGAATATTTTGTGTATTTTTAAGTTATATTTCACCCTAATTACAAATTGATACATGTTTTGCTCCCAATTCAGATGACTGCACATTATATATACCTAATAATGAAGAGACGAGAGCAGCGTTAAACCTGCGAGAAACTACTGAAGATAATGAAGAGAATTTAACGGTTACCGCGGATGATACAGATCAACATGAAGGTATTTTTGCCTCCTTTTATGACACATTGCACTCATAGGTTCTATTAATTTAATACCCACTAAATTTATGCCATAAAAATACTAAGTACCTGGTTATTTATCCACCATGTTTAATGTACCAAATACTGTAGCGCAGTAATTTTTTGCTTTTTAACAAATTAGTCGCGCGAGTGCAAGGTGTCCTAAACTGAAATATAATTCTGCATTGTAATTGCTGCATTATTGATATACATATTGTTGCAGAAACACAACGATGGACCCATGAAAGCACTCTGCTTTTATTGTCTTTATATGAAGATCATATTGGTTCTTTTAAATCGCCAAAGAAAACTAATAAATCAGTTTGGCTTCGAATAGCCAACGAGATGTCAAAGCGAGGGTATTTATTTACAGGAGATCAATGCGATTTAAAATTTAGGAACCTAAAAAAGACCTATAAAAGAATAAAGGATAATAATAAGTCATCAGGAAGAGGGGCAATTGTGTGGCCTTATATGGACATGTTTGAAAGAGTATTTGGGAGTGCACCTGACATAAATCCCAAGGCAACTGTGTCAACATTTGCCACATCATTAAATACTTTAAAATCAGCAAACCTTTCAACAGATAACCATTCAGTTGTATCATTACCTTATCTCTCACCTTCCACAAGTTCGGTAGGATCACCTGGTTCTTCTACGCAAGTAGAAAATAGCAATGAAAGCGAGGTAAGTTAATATTATAACACAATTATAGGTTTTAATAATTTTATGCATGGTACTTCAGTGTCCTGAACCTGTTCGTAATAAACGTCGAAAAATGTCAAATGAAGAACCTGCGTGGGTATCGACTCTAAGAAAAGAGGCCAAGGAACGTTATGATGAAAAAATGACAATGTTACGGGAGTTAATAGGACTTCTTAAAAAAGAATAAAAATATTTGATTTTATTAAAATGAAGTTGTGAAATTTACAACTAAACTTAATGTATTTGTTAATTAATTCATTAATAAATCAGCAATATATTCCCTTTTGCCCACTTTTCTAAAATCTTCATCTCCATTATTATAATAATCATCTTTATCTTCAAAGGTATCAACATCAATTTCATCATTGTTTTTCATACATATATTGTGCAACACACAACATGCCAAGATTAAATCAGGGATAAGTTCTACATTGTACATATGAACATGTTTTAAAATTCGAAACCGCCCTTTCAATAAACCAAAAGTTTGTTCCACGTACACTCGTGTACTAGAATGTTTGAAGTTGTAATTTTTTTGTTTTCTGCTCAAATGGCCGTTGTCACGATATGGTGTTAATAAGTAATTAGAGCACTTATATGCAGAATCTCCTAAGATATGTGTATTGTTGGGAAACAATTCACCAGGATTTTCTCTCATTTTTGTACCTAATGGAGAATTGTAGAAAACTCTTGCGTCATGGACGCTGCCTGGAAAACCTGTTAATATATGAAATTATAAATATCCGTATAATAACAGTAATAAAACTCACCTGCAAAAACATCGAGAAACATGTAGTTTGCATCACAAACGCCTTGTAATATTATACTGTGTTGGCCCTTTCGATTACAATAAGAACCTTGGACATTTCTAGGGGGTGTAATTAAAATGTGACACCCATCTATGGCGCCAATAACTCCTGGAAAGTTCTGACGCTCTTTAAATTTCTCACTTATATTATTTGCTGTAGCACCTGTTGGCCATGAAATATAAATGGAGGACACCTCTTTTAAAGCTTCTGTTACTTTCCGAACATATAACCACGCTGTTGATTTAGAGATGTCAAATTTGTCAGATAATAGTCTGTAAATATTATACGAATTTTTATTCACGTTTAATTTACTAACCTGTACACTGTTTGGTTTGAAAACATGGTTAGCGATACTAGGAGTTGCAAATCAGGCGAATGGCAATGCCGTCCTATCCCTTGTACATTACGTTCTTTTAGAGATGGCCCCAAAACTTGCACCAAATTTTCAAAAGTAATTCTACTTATTCTAAAGTGGCTTTTGAAATCTATAAGTTTGAAATGGAATAATAAATTCTACACGTTGCTAATACATACCATCAAAACTGTAAGCGCGCACTATATTTTCTACATAGTTTCTAATACACACACGAGATTTACGTTCAATCGAGTTATAACTACTACAAACTATTGCAATTAACTCATCATCACTATCATCATCTAAAACTTCATTAAGTACTCCAATAATTACGTTTCTTTTCAAGTTATCCATTTTGTAGAGGTTATGGATTTGAAAACATTTAAATCAGCTGCTGCCTTTGCGTTCGGCAAATATATGGTAAACGGTATGCAGTGGTGCAATCAGCTGGTTACCGCATTGCACCAGAAATTATCTACCGGTACATTCATTAACATTCAATAACAAACTCCATTCAATTTGCTCATGAACTTTCAAAAACTAAGATTTTAGAATCACAACGCCTCATTTCCTTTGATATAGTAAATTTGTTTCCTAGCGTCCCATACGGAGAGTGCAGATCTATAGTTCAAAATTTACTTTCAGATTCTAATGCCTCAGATCAAATTTCAGAATTTTTAATCAAATGTTTAGATCAGTGTTTGAACCAAAATTTCTTTTTCTTCAATAAAAAACAATATACACAAAAATCCGGTCTCCCTATGGGGAATAACCTTTCACCTTTACTTGCTGAAATATTCTTATCAAATCTAGAAATCAAAAAACTCTTATCCAACCCCACCATCAAGAAACACTTTAAATTTTATAAACGCTATGTAGATGACATCTTTGTGATATTTGAAGGGAATGACTCCGATTTAAACAATTGCTTTAACATCTTAAACACCTTACATAAAAACTTAAAATTTACCCTTGAATTAGAGTCACACAAAACCCTCAACTTTTTAGATCTCTCAATTGAACATCTAGGCCAAAAACTCGATATTGGAATTTATAGAAAACCCACCACCACCAGTAATATAATCCACTTCACCTCCTTTCATCTTCTCCAACATAAACTTGCAGCATTCAGATTCTATTTTCACAGACTTTTTAATTTACCTTTAAACCAAGCCAAATACAACGCAGAACTCCAGATTATTTACCAATTAGCCGCCCAAAATGATTATCCATTAAAATTGATTCAAAATCTCCAATTCAAACTCCTTCATAAATCCGAGATCCACAATACCACCAGTTTATCCCTCTTACAAGTAGATACTCCAACCACATATCAAGTATTGCCTTATATCGGAGAATTTTCTCATAGTTTTCAAAACACTTTTCGAAAGTACAACATCCGCATAATCTTTACAGCCAACAGCAATCTAAATTCAGTTCTTTCACACACAAAAGACCAAATCCCTCTAATAGACAAATCCGGCATTTACAAACTTAATTGCCCCACCTGCAAATCTTCCTACATTGGCCAAACAGGGAGAAAATTTTCTACTAGGTTTCAAGAACATCTTCAATGTATTAAAAACAATAATTCCTCCTCAATAAAATCCTCCTTCGCTTTACACATCCTAGAAACGGGCCACTCCTTCAATCCGAACACCGATTTCGAAATTCTGCATATATGTAATAAAGGTATAAGATTGAACTTTCTGGAATTGAAAGAAATTTACCACCAAGTTAAAAAGAACCCACACCTCTCTCTTAACGAAGTTCTCGGCTTTAATAACAATCTTCTGTTTTTACAATAATTTCAGTTCACCCTATACATCTTTTCAAAATTTATCGATATGTCAGTTTCCTCTTATACCGAATTGTCAATCATTTCGAGACATGCCGTCTGCATGATCTCGAATTTAAACTTTACTTAAATAATTTAAATATGTAGTCATCTTAATAGTTTCAATACTTTTATAAGTTTATTTTTCCCCCCCCGTTCTTTTGAAATGTGTAAGTACCTTTTAGATAAGTTATTTTTTAAATCTAAAACTTTGTTCATTTTTAGGTTAACCCAAATTTCAACTTTAATGTAAAAATTCAACCCCCCCGGTTGGTTGTCTTAACAAGGCTTGATAATTAATTCGTCTTGAAACTTAGGACAACCTTTCCGTTTTAACCACCCTTCAGGTTTTTCACTTGGCTTCGGCCAGTTTATAATTAAAAAAACAACATGTTCGTCTTATCCGTCTTCAACGTTTGTAATTTACCGTTTTCCTGTTAACTTTCACAGTAAGTACTAGCTCTTAATGTTTTCAAATTTGCTATATTGTGATACACTTCTAGTCGCCTGATGATGGCAGTACGCCGAAACTATAGTCGCTGTTATTTTTAAAAACTTCAACGAATAAAACTATATGGGGAAGGTTTAGAGATTTTTGATCATAAAAATTATATTTCACCCCTTTCGAGGAACGATGATCCAACTCAAAAAAAAAAAAAAAAAAAAAAAAAAAAAAAAAAAAAAAATACCGGTATAATTATCGTAAATGCCTATTGGTGTATCACCGGTGATCTACCATACGCACCGAATTATTTTGGCGGTTATTAAGCTACCAGTTTGCGCTAACCTTACTTTTTTGACTTATTTGTATAGCGTTATTGCACTTGTCGAAGAATGGAATTGTTGCTGTATACCGTCATAAAAAATAGATGGGTTTTTAAAGATACACATCCAAAGCTAAATGAAAGTGACAGCGATGAAGGTGATGATGACGATGATGTACTTTTATCTTTACTCAGAACAGACGATCATCCAAAGGTGCGACATTATGTAAAATGTGTTGTGCTAAAGTACAATCCTACAGACTTTCGGGCCCATTTTCGTATATCAAGACAATCAGTGGAGGTTTTTAATTAGTACTAGTATTAAGTACAGTATCTATTTATATTGTCATTTTGTAGGAACTAATGCAGTGCCTGGGTACTAAAGACTATTCGTCAGTAGGCAGACCCGCATTGCCTTTATTAGACTCTGTCTTGCTCATGATATGGACCATTAGCAATCAAGAGAGTTTTAGGTCTATTGCGGATAGATTTGGTATTGGAAAAGGTCATGCACATCGTATATTCCTTTTGATGTGCCAGAAAGTACATAAAAAAAGCCATCTCTATATTAAATGGCCCAAAGGAGCAAAAGCTCAAGAAACCGTAACTGAGTTTAGTACATTAAGAGGAGAAAATAGTTTTCCAAGTAAGAGTTGTAACGTTACAGTGTGCAATGGCATTCGAATTATATAGGTACATTTTAGATGTGTTTGGTTGCGTTGATGGCACACACATTCCCATTCCCGGTCCGTTAGCTGACAATTCATATTACAATCGAAAGGGTAGCAAAATTATTTGTAGGTGTAATATAAGGATAGTTTGTAATGTTGAACTTTGTAGGCTTTCATTCCGTGTTACTTCAAGGCATATGTAATGCAAAGCAAGAGTTTATTAATGTGTATTGTGGATGGCCAGGATCTGTGCACGATTCTAAAATGTGGCAAAATTCAAAAGTCTACAAGAAATTGGAAGAAGGTGCAAATGCAATGTTGCTGCCCGGCTGTTACCTGTTAGGAGACACTGCATACCCAATAAAACCATATATGATGGTGCCATTTAAAGACAATGGCACGCTAACATTAAGACAACGTCGATTTAATGCCAAATTAAGCAGTACCCGTGTTGTAATTGAGCAAGCGTATGGAAGACTCAAGTCCCAATTTCGTCGCTTAAAATACTTACCGATGCTACGTATACAGCAAATACCTTACGTAATAACCACAGCCTGCATTTTGCACAACATTGGTGTCAAGGATGATCCTGAATATTGTGGAAACATAGATGAAGAAGAAGGTGATAATAATATTGAGCACTATGATCAAGAAATAGAAGAGAGTGGTTTAGATCTTTGTGGTGTGCGTTTACGCAATCAAATATTAAGTCAAATGAAATTTTAATGTTAATTTGTTAAAAACTAGTTTATATAAAAACGATGTGTAAAATACTCTAAAACTACATAAAAATATTTGAAAATACAAACTAAGTTTCACATTTTGAAGCTAATACTTGTACTAATTTTAGTATGGCATTAATTTCTTTTTCTTTTAATAGTTTTTCCTCCTCCCATTTTTGCTGTTGAAACAACTCCTTTCTTTTGTTTTTCTCATCTTCCATTTCCAATTTCTTTAGTAAATAATCACTTATCTGCATTTTTCGTTTTTTACTCTTTTGAGTATTGACATCTGTACCTGCGGATCCTGCTGATGCGCTGGGAGAAGCAGGTAGCTCTTCGTATGGTTGTGAGTCTGGTTCAATATTTTCTGAATCATCATTCTCCAACGTGTCGTATAGGGAACCTAATAAAATAATGTACAGAGGTGTATAACCATACAATGCTGTTATTACCTTCTGCAGGAGTAATTGCCGCTTTGCAGCCTAAAACATGATCAAAACGCTCAAAGAACTCCCAGGTTATCGCACTTTCTCCAGAAGATTGCTGCTTCTTTTTGTTATTTTTATACGTTTTTAAAAGATTACGATACTTCAAATCGCACTCGTCGCTGGTAACGTTCACTCGAAGTTTTTCATTAATAATTTTTGCAATTTGTTGCCATAACTTCTTTTTTTTGCATGTGGGCCTGTTGAATTCTAATTCCCGAGAGAGCCTAGTTTCTATCAGTAACACTATTGTTTCCTTTTTCCATTGATGAGGCTTTCCTTCCAACGGCTGTGATTCCATTTCCTCAGATTGAGTGTATGGGTTAATACTAGTTTCGTACACTCTCTTAATATAATTGTTCCTCTGTTCCTCATCTAGACATAGTAGAAAAATAATGTGACTACCTAATTTAATTAGTAACGAGGGTACTGTCGTTATACGTGAAAGGTTTAGTAATAAAGGTGCATGATAATTAATTAGATTCAACGAGAATTACCATAGAGGAATTGTATTCAGAGCTTTATAATGATTTCTATGACTTCTACCATACAATAAAGTTTGTTATTATACACGACGATGAGTAATAATAAACAGAGTTACTGAAAACCGAATTAGAAAATTCTAAACCGTTCGCGAGTTATCATATACACAGGAAGGAATAAGGAATTTTTAGTGCTGCTGTATAACTGATATTTATTGCACAATGGGGAAAACACCTTCATTTTTCCGGATATTTTAGAAATATAGATCGTCATCGGGGCGCCATCAAGTAGATAGAGGATTAATCACCGGCAAAAAGGAACGATGGCGGATGTGACGTATTTTTTCGGGGAAATATGACGTGTTTATTCGAGAATGCTCTAGAAAGTTTTTGTTTGTCATAAATACATCACGTAATTAAATTTTCGTTACAATACGTAATTATTAATAATTGTAGT